AAATATAAATTTTTGCTATTTGGATATATGGTTGAACTACAAAAGGAATGTGTTATGTTAAAAATAAATAAAAATTTAAGAGAGAAAAACTTTTATTTAACAAATAGACATACCATTCAACAACACAATGACGGATGCATATCAATGAAAATTTTGTAAACATGTTCTTAAAAAAAAAAAAAAAAAAGAAAAAGAAAAATCATAAGCAGAAGTATTACAGTGGCATTGTTTCCAATTCATCATGATCATGATGTATTTCCGATTATATTTTACATATCACCACCAATGCAAAATTGTGGCGAGAAATTTTATATGATAATTTTTTATTTTTTCAATTTGGTCAACAGTTACATTCCAACAAATATTATTTTATACTACTTATAAAAAAGTATGAATAGATATGTAGTTTCTTCTCTTCTTTATATGTACAAAATTACCCCACAAATTAGGCTTTAGACATAGAATTTTAAGGGCAACTGTGTCATTTGATTCATATACATTAAACGTTTAGGATCCATCTATTAAATAATTAAATATTCCCTGTATATTCGATATCCGGACTTTTAGTCCACTATATTACTTGTACGATACGTGCACTTGCGTGTAGGTATTACAACCAACAATGAGCATCAATATTAGTATCACTGTCAACATCAATATTAGTATTAGTATTAGTATTAGTATTAGTATTAGTATTAGTATTAGTATTAGTATTAGTACTAGTACTAGTACTAGTACTAGTATTAGTACTAGTACTAGTACTAGTATTAGTACTAGCATTAGCACTAGTATCAGTATTAATATCAGTATCAGTATCAATATCAGTATCAATATCAGTATCAGTATTAGTATCAATATCAATCATGGTTATCGGATCGTAAAAATATCTCGTATCGTTTTGCTCCACGTCTCGTATCGTATCGTTATCGTACCGTATCGTAAGATATTTAACCAACTATTAAAATAGTAAAAAATATATATCTGCATTATAAACATATTATAAATATGTAAAATTTAATATATCTACTTGTTGCAAAATAGGTATAAATTCAAGTTTCAACATCATATTATAAAATATGACAAAAATCATATATGTTCATCAAATAACATCATTTAACAGGGTGTTTGGCTAGGCTTATAAGATGTTAAAACGAACTTATAAGATGTTTAAGAGCTATTCCAGTGTGTTAGGTAATTTTTTTTCAAAAGATCTTAAAAAATCAAAATATTATATGCTACTCGAGAGCAAATAAGATTTTTTTTTAAAGTACATTTACCCCACCTATTTATTTAAGATCTTATAATGGGTAAAATAGCTTGTAGATCACTATCCAAACACTTAAAAAAAATAATTTTAAAAGTAAGACGTAACAACTTATCAGCTCTTAAAACAACTTATCAGATGTAAATAAGCTTAGCCAAATTCTCCCTAAGTTCAAATCCGAATACCTAATTTCTAAAATATTCGATATCCCATAATTTTGAATATCAGTGTCACTTAAATCGTCCTCATCTACCAATTTTAAACGATTGCATTCATCATCATCAATCGCAAAATCCTGCAAAAAAATGCCTCGAATTGATCTTGAATCGCAAGAATCTATAGCAATTGAATTAGGGTTGTAATATTGTGAGGATTGGTGAAGAAAATGAAGAGAAAAGTGTGAACTAGGGTTGGGATATTGAAGAAATCTTTTCTAAACCGTTTTTGAGAGCAGTTGACTGCATTTCTTGTTTTTTTTCTTCGTTTTTTTCATTTTTTTAAATATCGTAAATATCGTATCGTATCGTGATACAGCGATACGATACGATATCTCGCGATATTTAACGGTATTTATCAGTAGGCGATACATAACCCGAGTTGTATCGTTTTGATTGGAACCATACCGTATCGCGATATATATCGCGGTATATCGCGAGATTAACTACCATGATATCAATATCAATATTAGTATTAGTATTAGTATTAGTATTAGTATTAATATTAATATTAGTATTAGTATTAATATTAGTATAAGCACTTGTATTAGTATTAGTTTTAGTATTAGTATTAGTCTTGGAGTATTAGATTTAACATTAGCGTTAGCGTTAGCATTAGCATTAGCATTAGTATTAGTATTAGTATTAGTATTAGTATTAATAGTAGTGTTGATATTAATACTAGTATTAGACTATTAGTATTAATCATCCTATTAATATTAGGATTAATATTAATATTAGTATTATTAGTGTTGGTTTTAGTATTAATATTAGTATTGGTATTAGTATTATCAATGTTGGTTTTAGTATTAGTAGTAGTAGTTGTTGTTAGTGTAAAATTAGTGTTAATATTAGGGTGACATAAGCAATTGTACGCTGCAATGTCCAGAGTTAAAAGTAGATTTGAGATAAACATATTTATCAACTCAGAATCGGGCGATATAACTAAAATTACGAGCAATGTTGTGTGCACAAAAGATTTTCAGCGAATATGAAGGTAATCACAAACAAATGTATATTTTGATTCAGTTAAATATTTTTTTTTGGTATTAGTTATATGTATGTCAATTGTTCAAAGTTTTCGTTCGTTTTATTTTATCCAATTTTTTTTTTAAATATTGATTCCGTGCATTGCACGGATGAATTACTAGTAATTTTATAAGATCTTGTATCAAATATTATAATTTAATATATTAAAAATCACACATATGAAAAAAATAATAATTTAATATAAATATTTATAATATTTTTTGAAAAATATAAATTTTTGCTATTTGGATATATGGTTGAACTACAAAAGGAATGTGTTATGTTAAAAATAAATAAAAAATTAAGAGAGAAAAACTTTTATTTAACAAATAGACATACCATTCAACAACACAATGACGGATGCATATCAATGAAAATTTTGTAAACATGTTCTTAAAAAAAAAAAAAAAAAAGAAAAAGAAAAATCATAAGCAGAAGTATTACAGTGGCATTGTTTCCAATTCATCATGATCATGATGTATTTCCGATTATATTTTACATATCACCACCAATGCAAAATTGTGGCGAGAAATTTTATATGATAATTTTTTATTTTTTCAATTTGGTCAACAGTTACATTCCAACAAATATTATTTTATACTACTTATAAAAAAGTATGAATAGATATGTAGTTTCTTCTCTTCTTTATATGTACAAAATTACCCCACAAATTAGGCTTTAGACATAGAATTTTAAGGGCAACTGTGTCATTTGATTCATATACATTAAACGTTTAGGATCCATCTATAAATCAATTAGAATAAATAAATGATACTATCACACCACGTTTTCTTAGAAGTAATAATCTGTATAGAATTGGTGCACTTAATGGGTTTGATGATTAATTTCTTCCACGTATTGGGAAACGTCCGTTACATTCTTAATGTTTATTACTACTCCCTCCGTTTTCAACTAGATGTCGTTTTCACCTTGGCACTAATCTTAAGAATTTCAATAAATATGTCTCATTTTTCACCTTCGCCGTCAGTCGTTGCCGTCGCCGACAGCCCTCCGCCGCCAGCCGTTACCGTCTGCCGCCATTCCTCCTCCGTCTGCCCTCCTCCGTCAAGAATTTCAAGGTAATTTTCCTTTTTTTTTTAAATCTTTGTTTGTTTATGTTGACAATTTCGTATGTGTTTGATTATTGCGAACTGTTTTTGGGTTTTTTCTCGGAATTATGTGTTTGTTTGTTTGTTTTATGTTGATTTGATGAGCCTGTGTTGCTCGGAATTATATGAACTGTTCTTGGGTTTTATGTTGCTCGGAATTATGTGTTTGCTCGGAATTTTGTTGCTCGAAATTATGTGTTTGAAATAGTTTCTTAATCATGGTTATTAGGCATGGTTTATATGATTAATTGTCGAGTTAGTTTCTCCCAAAGCCTTGTTTTTTTGTTTTTTCTCCCCTCTGGAATCACAACATGAATTTGTCGTACTTAAGAATGAATACATATACGAAGTCTTTTTGAGTTCAATGATTATGACTAGGGGTGGAAATTGGAACGAAAATTTCGATTTCCGCCGAATCCGATCCGAAATATTCCGATTTTGGAACGACTTTTTCAATTCCGAATTCTGAAATTCCGATTTCCAAAAATTCCGAAAAAAATCGGATCGGAATCGGAAATACATAACAGAATTTCGGAATTTCCGATTTCCGATCTGAAATTATTCCGATTATTTCCGATTATTTCCGATCTTTCTATGGTTGTTCGTTTTTTTTTTCTTCTTTATATTGGGAGTTCGTGTTATTTCAAACTTGAATCGCTCTTTTTTTATGTTTTATTTGGAGTAGCGTTGTTGATTTATATTTATCCTACGAAGTTATGTGCTTTTATTTGGTTTAAGAAATTGTTTGTTGTTTATTAAGAATATTTGTTTGGATTTTATTTTCAATTAAGATATGTTTGTGAGTCTGTTGTGTGTTTTAGTGCGTCTGTTCTGTGTTTTTGTGCGAGTATGTTCTGTTTTGTTATTTGTGTGAATCTCTTGTATTTGTGAAGATTACTTATTTCATGTTTTCTTCTGCAATTTGGCTACTGTGTCGGTGATCAATTTATCCTTTTTTTGGAAAAATTCCGAAAAATTCCGAAAATTCCGAAAATGAAGATTTCCGAAAAATTCCAATTTTCCGAAAATTCTGAAAAAATCGGAATCGGAATCGGAATCAATTTTTGAATTCCGAAAAAATCGGAATCGGAATTGGAAGGCGTTTTGGACTTCCGAAAAAAAATGGAAATTTTCCGAAACACCCAAATCCGATCCGATCCACCTTAATTTAGTTTTTGAAAATTGAAAATTGATGTCAATTAAAAATTCAAAGCTTTCTCGTTGCGACTACCACCTTAATTTAGTTTTAGTTTATGAATGTAACTTTGACTTGATAGAATAATTGTGATTTTAATAATTGTGACCCTTCCCAATTTCTAGGTAATCTTGTTAATTAAAGCATGCCAAAAGATAGGAGTTCGGTCCTATTACATGATCGTTGGTTAGAAGTATATCAAAATGGTTGTGTGGAATTTATGGATTTTGCCTTCGCTAAATGTGACGTTGATAATAAAATAAGATGCCCATGTAGAGACTGTAAGTGTCGTAAATGGGGGGATCGTGAATTCGTGCATAAACATTTACTTTGGAGGGGTTGGGATAAACTTTATGGGCAACCCCGATGGACTCTGCATCGAGCGTCCGAAGAAGAATACATTGGCGAGGAAATGAACAATACTAATCATACATAAATTCCCGAAGTTGCAATTTTAAATGAACCTGTTGATGTACGTGATAACATTGAAGACTTACTGCATGCGTGTCTTCATCACGATCATCATCACGATCAAGAAGATCTGCACGAAGAACCCAACCCCGAAACTGATGATTTTCGTAAACTCATTGAAGAGTGGTGCATCCCCGTTTATGATGGATGTCGGGTATATACTAAACTTTCTTTTATCATGGAGTTCTACAAAATTAAGTCTCGTGGCAAGATGAGTGATAATACATTTACTGAAACCCTTCAGTTAATGAGAAAACTTGATTTTTTAAATATACCTGACTCTTTTTATGAAGTTAAGAAGCTCATCGGTAAATTGGGGTGTGGTCAGTGGCGGATGTAGCCATGGGCTAGGGTGTGCAGTTGCACACCCTTGGTTTTCAGTAAATATTACTATTATACCTAAAATAACAGAAAAGGTAGTTGGTTGAAGTGGTAAAGATATGTGTTTTTATATTAATAGGTCATGGGTTCGAAACCCACCCTCACAATAATGGAACTTTTTTAAAATCTCAACATTTTTCAACTTTTTGGTCTTTAAATATTTCCACAATTCACCCAAAATTTGTAAATTATAAATTTTTGGTCCACTATTTTTATAAAGTGATATTTTAATTTTTTATTCTACAATTTCGAACCCCCTTGGCAAAAATCCTGGATCCGCCACTGGGTGTGGTTACATCAAGATTGATGCGTGTGAGAATGACTGCATGCTGTTTTGGAAGGATGACTTGAACTTAAATGCATGCAAAGTGTGTAATGCTTCAAGATGGAAGAATCCAGTAGAAAACCAACCGAGTTCTTCAACCTCTCAGCGCAAAAGGGTACCGAAAAAAGTTTTGCGACACTTTCCATTGATTCCGAGGCTCAAGCGGCTATTTATATGTCGAAAATCAGCAATTAACATGAGATGGCACGCTGAGTCTCGATGTAACGATGGCGTTCTCAGGCACCCTGCTGATTCTGATGCTTGGAAAGAGTTTGACAAGAAACACGAGTCATTCTCTTTGGACCCTCGAAATGTAAGGCTTGGCTTGGCTACTGACGGTTTTAATCCCTTTGGATCATTGAGCAGCAAGCATAGCACATGGCCTGTAATTCTAATGGTTTACAACTTACCACCAAATATGTGCATGCAACGCTCTAATATGACGATGTCATTGCTTATTTCTGGTCCTAAAGGCCCGAAAAATGGCATTGATGTTTATCTACAGTCGTTGATCGACGAGCTTAATGAGTTATGGGGTTCTGGGATAACAACTTTTGATGCGTACACCAAGCAATATTTTAATATGCGAGCCGCACTTTTGTGGACTATCAATGACTTCCCTGCGCTTGGTAACTTGTCGGGGTGGAGTACAAGTGGCTATCTTGCTTGCCCAAGTTGTGCCGAAAATACCGTGTCTGAACGTTTGTACAAGTCCAACAAACAGTGCTATATGGGTCATAGTCATTTTTCTGAAGATGGGGCTCCACCTCCGCCTTCAGGAGATGAGGTGTTATAAAAAACGGAGGGTATAAATGTTACATTTGGCGTAGGCCAAACAGTGCATCGAGCTTCCCAATGGAGAAAACGGAGTATATTCTTTGAATTGCCGTACTAGAAAGATAATCTCATTCGACACAATCTTGATGTCATGCATATTGAGAAAAATGTCGGTGAATTATTGCTTAGGTGGTTATTAAATATTCTTGGAAAAAATGACGGGTTTGACAATGCTAAGGAGGACATTGGAAAAATAAAAAAAACAACCGTCACGTAAGTCCGGTCCACGATTTCCCAATCTCGATCCAACTCTCTACAAATGACCTTCTATTTATACTTGTTGGGTGAAAAATTCTTCCATAATTACTTGATGAGGTGGCGCGATATGATTGGCCCCTCATGACTTGATTGGTATTAATTTAATAAATCATAAGATACAATTTGTAATACCAAAATCATGTATATTCGGTGGCACCCCTCTCTCGATTACTCTAATAATATGTAATCTCAATAGAAGACTTTTTAAAAATGATTATTGTGGATAAATTTACGTAAAAAAATTTCTTTCAAAATCAGAGGGAGAGAGGTCACACTATACTATACCCTAATCAACCAATTAACACAAATACATGCTACATGCAAGACTAGAAAATAACTAGGCATGATCGACTTGATGCAAGTTCGGGCAGATTAAGTGCAAAACTTTAAAAATTAATTCCTCTTAAACTACTCATACCAATGATCCCAAAATAATACCATAGCATCTAACATGGGTCGAAATCACTCATTTAAAACAGTTTTGAAATATGCTTGGCCATTTGGGAGAAATAAATAAAATGGCACAGTCACTCAATTTAAAATCCAAAACGGGGGGGGGGGGGGGGAGTTTTGAAAGTTCGTAATAAATTCCTTACTGACCCAAAAACTACCACATTTTACCCCAAGGCAGAAAAATAAGTTTAAAACATTTTCCAAGTAGAAACAAGGAATTTGAGTGAGTAAAACTCCAGTTATACCAGAAAATACCCGAATGACCCTGTTTCAGTGCAGTAGGGAGAAATAAATCATCACTAATTCAATACTTACCCAAATCATGCAAAAGACCTATAAAAATGATTAGAACAGAGAGATGCAAAGACTCCTAAAATTTTAACCATCAATCACTAGATCTTAATATGCAAGACCTTAGATCAGCAATCAATCACTAAATCTTAACATGCAAGGCCTTAAAACAACAACCAACACAAGATCAACACATGCAAGATACCAAATAAACCAAATAAGCAATTTGAAGCACTTTACCTCAAAAATTCGAAAGTTCCATAGTTGCCAAAAATTCATTTACTTTTCACAAATCAACAATCAAACATGAGATTAACATATGCAAGACACTAATTAAGCCAAATAAGCAATTTAAGCATTTTTCCCCCAAAAATCTGAAAGTTTCATGGCTAGGCCGAAAATTCATTTTCTTTTCACAAATCAACAATCAAACACTAGATTAACACATGCAAGGCACTAATTAAGCCAAATGAGCAATTTAAGAATTTTTCCCCAAATTTTGGCAAAAGTATAAAACTTCAAGAACAAAGTTATCTTTTCAAAACACTAACATGCAATCACCATCTAAGCCATATAATCACATAATATGCAAGAATAAACACATAAAAACACATACAAAACGAAAACACTAGTGGTGTTGCATGTTTGAGCAAGAATTCAAGAATTCTCACCTCTACTCTTTAGGGGAAGGATTTGTTAGAACTTTTCTCTCTAATACAAGAAGAGATCAAGAGTTAGATTATATATCAAGAAAAAAAGAAGAAGAACAAGAAGAACTTGGATGAAGAAGAGGTTGGCTCTTTTCGAAAAAAAAAAGAAGAAAGAAGAGGAAGAAGAAAGCTTACTTAGCCTTGGCCGAAAATTCTTCTTCTATTGAAATAGAAAGAGACTTTGAACTTATAGATACTAAGAGTGGAGTTTGAGAGTGCATTTTGATCTTGGGCATGAGAGGTATTTATAGAGTGTTTGGAGAGTTCAAAGCCAATGGAGAAGAAAGGAAAATACATCTTTTAGTGGGGGTGATTTTGCAATTTTCGAAAATAGGAGTGGTGGTGGTTCTTGGGTGGTTGAAGCTTAAGAAAATGGTGGCTATGATGGTGGGGGTGTGGCTGCCGAAATGAAGAAGGAAGGGGGAAGAAGAAAGAAAGACCTTTGGTCTTACTTAAAGTGGAGTGTGTGAGTGAAAAAGCAAGCCTAGTCTAGAGAGTAGGGAGGCTAGCTTTATGTATTTATTTTAATGCTCAAAGTACAACCACACTAATGCATGTCTATTCCTAATTAAAATGCAAATTTTGAAATCATGTGTGTGTGTGTGTGTGTGTGTGTGTGTGTGTGTGTGTGTGTGTGTGTGTGTGTGTGTGTGTGTGTGTGTGTGTGATGTCCGAAAATTTAAAAGAAAATGAGGGGAGGATTTTCTAATTTTCTCCATTAATTAAAAATCCTAAAATGCATGATAAAAAATTATTTTCTAAATTTTTGTGCATGCATAAATATGATGAAATGCTCATTTAAATTCATATGCAAGAATAAAATCCTAGTTCATGAAAAATAATTCGAGAAATAATATCTCAAAATATTTCCTAAGCACATAATTCACATAATCACATATTTCACATAATCATATATTTCACATAATCACATAATTCACATAATCACCTAATTCACGTAAATACTAACCATGCAAAAATTATTATAAATTCTAATTTCACAAATATGCACATAAAGGTGTAAAATAAAATAATATTATTTTACCGAAATTTGTCCCCAAAATTTTTACATATTTCAATTTAAGTTCTGGATAACGACTCACAATCTCATCCTCAAGTTCCCACGTTGCCTCATCCGGAGAATGGTCTCTCCAAATGATTTTTACTAAAACATATACAAACAATTCACATTAGTCATAAAAAAAAAATTCACATAAAACATATACCTACCCGAGTGCTTAGTTGGAGTTGTACTTTGAGAATCGTGAAGATCTTTAGGTCGTATGGAGAATTTCGGGATCGTTGCTTTGATACCATGCGGCTGTGGCACCCCTCTCTCGATTACTCTTATAATATGTAATCTCAGCGGAAGACTTTTTAGAAACGATTATTGTGGATATAAATTTACGTAAAAAAATTTCTTTTTAAATCAGAGGGGGAGAGGTCACACTATACTAAACCCTAATCAAGCAATTAACACAAATACATGCTACGTGCAAGACTAGAAAATAACTAGGCATGATGGACTTAATGCAAGTTCGGGCAGATTCAGTGCAGAAACTTTAAAAATCAATTCCTCTTAAACTACTCATGAAAATGATCCCAAAATAATACCATACCATCTACCATGGGTCGAAATCACTTATTTAAAATAGTTTTGAAAGATGCTTGGCCATTTGGGAGAAATAAATAAAATGGCACAGTCACTCAATTTAAAATCCAAAATAGGGGAAGGAGTTTTGAAAATTCGTAATAAATTCCTTACTAACCAAAAAACTACCAAATTTTACCCGAAGACAGAAAAATAAGTTTAAAACATTTTCCAAATAGAAACAAGGAATTTGAGGGAGTAAAATTCATGTTATACCAGAAAGAACCCGAATGACCCTGTTTCAGTGCAGTAGTGAAAAATAAATCATACCTAATTCAATACTTACCCAAATCATGCAAATGACCTATCAAAATTATTAGAACAGAGAGATGCAAAGACTCCTAAAATTGGATGATTTTCTAAACAGAGCACCTGTATAAAGATAATTTCCAAACATCGAGACAAAATACGAAAAGGTTACTAGCCGAAAAGCGTGCATGCATATAGATAGTAAAATTTGCTTTTGGTTACAAAATACTACGGATTACCGATTAAATATCCAAAATGGGGTAATCCTAATTACTATTACACATATTGTCTTTTAGTAATTTCCACGGATCGGAGGAAGCAAACGATAGAAAATACCTAAAACCTTATCAAAAGTCGTTACAAGCATATTATACCAATAAAACCACATAACTAAATTAAGAGCCAACACAATCCACAACCCCTCCATACGATCTCCTTCCGATTCTCGAGCTCGATTCCCAACTTCACTCCTCGGGCTACAAATCGGGTATACCTACAAACATACAACACCTATATGAGCCTTTGAGGACTCAATGAGAATCTTGAAGTATTATCGAATACACATAACACATAGAGCTTACATATATCTATATATATATATATCCCACATTTATAACCGTATGCCATGACACGTACTGAGGATTAGAGGATGAGAATTTCCCACCTTTATAACCCTACGATCCCAAGACCATAGAGTGAGATTTTCCCATCTAAATCCTCAACACCATAATGCAACATGCATGACATGAAAAATCATCGGGAATCCCTCGGAAGATTCAATCTATGTTCCCGGTTAATAACCTCATATATTTCGAATCCGTCTATCTACGTGGAATCAAACCACCCCTAGGCCCTACGGTACCGACTCGGCGTACCCGGGATATTTACCGTAACCTCGAAAGACTTTCCATCATATTTTTACCTTTTAAAAATTCATGACACTAATGCACCCACACATGCACCCTTCTACTTACCCTTCTCTCATCCTCACACCCAATGATCCACATAAGCAAGCAAGAGCACATAGAAAATTACAAATAAAGTTTCATAAAATCATTTAGCCATAAAAACATAAAAGTAACCGAAATTTTAACATGCAAAGACAATTTGTATTCAAAATTCATTAAATCTAACATTTTTACAAGAATAAAATTCAAGACTTCCATCAACATTTATTCAAGTAAATACACTAGATCTACACATGCAAGAGTATTTTAAATCAAGTTAGCACAAATTCTTAGTTCCTTCATCATTTTTTCATAGAAAACACTAGATCTTAACATGCAAGACTTTAGATCAACCATCAATCACTAGATCTTAACATGCAAGTAGGGGTGGAAATCGGACGGATCGGATCGGAAACGGGGCTTTCGGAAAATTTCCGATTTTTTTCGGAACCGTAATATCGATTCCGATTCCGATTCCGATTTTTTCGGAATTCAAGAACAGAATCCGATTCCGATTTTTTCGGAAAATTCGGAAAATCGGATTTTTTCGGAATTTTTTATTTTCGGTTTTTTTTTTTCAAACTTTTCACAGATTTATTGAATAAACAACAAAAAATACACAGACAAGCCCAAAAAAA